TGAGGCAGGATTTTCAGGGGGAGCCTTGGGTCACTCTCTATGGGCAATTAGAGATCTCAACGCCAAGCTTGAGGGAGCACTGACATCCACTGCCGATTCCCTGGCCTCTCTCCAAAGACAGGTCACTTCGTTAGCTAAGGTCACCCTTCAAAACCAGCAGGCCTTAGATCTGCTTACAGCCGAAAAGGGCGGCACCTGCGTCTTCCTTCGAGAAGAGTGCTGCTATTACATCAACAACTCCGGCATTGTAGAAACTGACATTACCAAACTCACCGATCTTGCCTCCAGCCTCCACTCTGCTTCCAATTCTGAGCCACTCTCTTCAATACTAACAAACCCCCTCCTCACCTGGCTCTGGCCCATTGCAGGCCCCATAATAGTCATTCTTCTCGCCTGTCTCTTCTTGCCTTGTATAGTAAAATTTATCAAATCCCAAGTCAGTAAAATCTCTAATCAAACTTTCAACCAGCTTTTACTCAGGAACTACCAGCTTTTAGCCACAGAAGATCCCTCACCCTAACGTAACCTCCTCACCACACGCTGAGATGGACCCCTCTCCCTCTGGAAACTGTTCCTGGAAACACTAGCTGCAGACGCCTGGCTTCTGGCACCTGTATCCTCTTGGCACCATTGGAATCAACAAGTCCTTGACCTATGGTTACAGGGAACCTTCATTGATTTCCAACCTGAAGAAGTCCACATCTACTCATCCTTATTGTGGGGAGTCCTATCAACCCTTTCCTCCCAATCCTCAAGCCCTCACTCCCTTCTCTGCCCCCGTTCAGCAGGAAGCAGTCAGAGAGAAAGCAACGTCCACAACCCCATAGAGGAGAAAGTGGGGAATGAAGGGCCCCCACCCATAAGATGGCAAACTTCCTCCTTCTCTTCCGGGTCTTCGGTTCCCGCTGGCGCCACCTGAAGCCCAATCACCTCTCGCCCCCCTCCCATCCCAGCACCTAGCCAATAGCCACCAGCCCCGTAGAAGTGACACCTCAATCAGCTCATGCCCCTTCCTATATAACCCAGCATCTTTCCCTAATAAAGTGTAATCCTCCGGTGAATTGCTGCTGTGTGTCACTCCTTCCTTTCAATAAGGGTATCAGATTTCTCACTGGAAACAACGTAAACAAGAATACACCAGAACAATATCTTTAAAATATTGAAAGAAAAAGCCTATCAAGCTAGAATTCTATACCCAACAAACATATCTTTTCAAAACAAAGGTGAAAGAGACATTTTCAGACATAAAACTTTCAAGAAATTATCACCAGCAGACCTACTCTATAAAAAATGTTAAGGGAAGCCCTTTGGTAGAAGGAAAATTATATAAAGATGGAAATCTGAATCTGTGCAAGTCTTTATTAGGAGTATGGAGTGAATTTTGTCAAAGGCTATTTCAGACTATATAAAAATAATTTAATTTTTTTCTCTTAAGGCCTTTAACTATCAAAAAATTTCCTTATGTTGAGGCATCCTTTTATCCCACCTATTTGAGCAGGATGTATTCTTTTAATGTAGTTCAAGTTAGTTTTAAAAGACTCTCTTTTTAAAAAAGAATTCATGGTTTCAAAAAGGGCTACGATAATATGAAAAATACTGGGTAACATGAGAAACACAGAAAGCTGCTTATTCTGGGAACAAAGTATATAATTTGCTATGCTGTTTAGATACCAGTGTACTAGGCTATGAAAAAGCTCCTATCAGTATGTCAGAACTATAATATTTTAACTACTAAATTTCTCTTGTACATAGGTAGGGAATAATGATCAAATATCAAAAAGCTCTAATTTATCTTTCCAAATATTATTTGTTGGCTAAAGGAAAAAAACATTATCATCTCTTTCAAAGGAAGCTAGAACTATAAGGTTTGTGTAGCTCTAGCTTCCTCTGGTCACTTTAACATAAAATTACGAGAGAATATCAATTCAGAGAGGAATCATATGAAAAGTAAGGAAGAAAGGATGCCCCAGTCTCACATTTATAAAGAAACAAACTCACAATCATATGTAAACAAGTGTTTGCCTTTGTTATCTCTTGAAGAGCTTTTCCAAGATTAGAGCTTAAAAAATTTTTGCTAATTTTCATTGGCAAGGTCTCTTTTAACTTAGCTCTGCAAAAGGACAAGACTCAAAGACCTCATATGATAAACAAGATCAGCCAGTATTCAATGCTGATCAGCAAGAGTCAAAAGTGCTCTTGCAGAGCAGATCTCAGTAACAGGCATAGATATACCACCTCCCTACTGCTTATGCCACAAAAAGGTTTTAAGCAGTCAAGGATGTAATCATCTCAAACACGAATATCTGGTATACATATTTCTATTCTTGGGAATGAGTCTTAACAATCAGCTTGAGGTATTAACTTTAGGCAAGGGTGATGAAACAAAACCAAAACAAGACCCTTGTCCTCACTGCTTCTGGTAAAAACTAACACACACACCAACCAGGATCTACCAACTAGAGAAGAGGTATACTGTTCCTCCTCGGGTACAAGTTTAGCAGATTTCAGGGACAAATTTGCCTGTCAGGCTTTGAAGTTCACTAATCTTTTCTTCTGCAATGTCTAATCAGACATTAATTTCATCTGGCGTCTTTTCATCTGACACTGTAGTTTTCATCTCTACAGATTTATTTTTAGACACCTATTTATAGATTTACTTTTAGACACCCAAAATATCATTTTCAAACAGATGTGCCAGAACACTTTTCCACATAGAACTGGGCTGATGTGACAGAACATTTCTGCACATAAACAGGGCTCTTGTTGTTAATAAGATGTCCAAGGAGATTCTGTCACTAACACTTGTACTTTTTAGGTTTTACCTGGTTAAACTGATCAGAAACAGGTTATGTATTATTTCAGAGGCTTCAGACAAAGAGATCTAGCTAAAGCACATAAGTAACAGAACTTACCCTGAGTTGTGAAATGGCTGCTTTCCCTTCCTCACTTTCCTCATCAAATTCGTCATCACTCCACTCCCAGCCGCCATCTTCTGTCTTATGAAGACGGCCACTGGAGCCTGGCACTCTGCGAACCTGCTCGTTAGGAAGAGAAACATGGACTGTGGCTGTGTCTGACGTTACTGTACAGTTGATCACGTGTCCCTCTCCTGTTACCTTGACAGGGTAAGCAGAGGACCACCCCTTATAAGTAAATTCTCCTTGCCCTCTCACTGTCTGTTCCATCTCCGCCATCTGGCTCTACAGCCACTGACTGCCTACACTCATACTCTGAGCCTGAACATAATTCAAATCCTCCTTATGTGAAGTCACATGTCAAGTCTGATTAATGGTTTTATGTCTTAAGTGTTAAAACAAACAAAAAAGCAGGTTTCAAACCCCAAAAGAAACCCAAGATAAAAAAGATTCTGCCTTTTTCTTTTTCATTTTAATTTTTGAAGTCACAATTATACCTACGTTTTCAAGAGCATAGCTGGGCAAGTTTTGATAAGAAAAACAGCAATCATCTACCTTTCATCCACTTCCCCCAGGGCAACTACTTTCAATTCATTTTAATTATTCTTTTGGAATTTACATTCATTTCTCTAAGTAGTACATTCTTTTTATTACACCTTGATTTTCTGGTTTTAGGCATTAACTATCGGACTTCCCACTATGGAAGATGAGAACTTAGCCTTATTATTAACTCACCAGTCTTTCCTCAAGATATAATGAAAGTTTGATTAAATCAATATTCATTATTTACATGGCATGATATAAATGATACAGCTGAGCCTTATTGTATATTACAATTACTTTCCTGAAAAACTTGTTTCTCCTGGAATTAGTATTTGCTTGTTTGCATATACTCGACACATTTATCCCCCAAATCTCTCCCAGGTGCATAAATCTCTTACCACATTCATATACACTAGGTATTATCAGTTATCATCTTCTTGAGGAAGCCCTCCCCAGAGCCTCTGATCTGCTCCACCCTACACTGGTTTCATACCAGGTCTGATAATTCAGATTTCACTCCACCATCATCCAGAAGACCATGCTTCCTGGATCACATGACTCCCCTGTTCTTACCTAAGCACTTTCCCCACTATTAACATGGCACATTTATTAAAGCATTTTATTCCATCCCCATATTTCACTTAATAGTTTGCCTGTGTTAGAAATAATTTTTGTTCATAATGTTGAACACAACTGCTCCATTGTGACCTGGCTTCTGGGGCTGCTACTGAGGTCATTATGCCCCTGATGCCATCTGTGACCTTTCCTCCTCCTCTGGAAAGCTGTAGGATATTCTTTTTGCCTCCAGTGTTCTGAGCTGTCATAGTCATGTGCCTTAGTGTTGGTCTATTTTCATTCATTGCACTAGGTATTTGGGCTTTATCAATCTGGAAATTTGTGACTATCAGTTTTGGAAATTTTTCTTCAATGATTTCATTCCTTCAGTTTTTCTGGACATTTCTGAATCAAACAATATGTGGTTTTGTAACTGGCTTTCAATTAGCATGTTTTTAAGGTTCATCCTCTTATGGCATTTATCAGTACTTCATGCCCTTTTATTACCAAATATTATTTCATTCTATAATTGGAACATGACATTTTATATATCCAATCATCAGCAGATGGACACCTTCAGGTTGTTTTCACTTTCAGTTAATATAAATAATGCTGCTATGAACAATAGCATACATATCTTCCTGTATACATGTTTTCAATTCCCTTGAGTATACTGAGGAGTGCAACTGCTGGGTCAGATGGCACTTCTGTTTACTCTTTTAAGGCCCTGCCAGGCTACTTTCTAAAGTAGCTGCACCACTTTGCATTTCTATCAGTAGTGTGTGTGGATTCCAATTTCTCCACATTTTTATCAACACTTCTACTGCCTGTCTTTTTTATTATAGTCACCCTGTAGGTGTCAAGTGGTATCTTCATGTTTTTGTAAGATATGAAGAAAGGGCCCAAGTTCACTACCAACTTCTGATAGTTGCAAATAGCAATTTAATAGAGTTTGAAATTAATTCATATATTGTGCAGCATACTTCTCATTCTAATAGGTAAGAGAGTAATACAAGAGACTAATACCTGCTTAATGAATGTATATAGAATGCTAAAGAAAATGCATAATACTGATATTATCACCCAAGTTAGCCTACACTTAACATATACTATCAAAATGCAAAAGTAAATCTATCCTAAGGAATTTTCCTGGAAAACTGAATTAAATTCCATTTACCTTTTTAGCTCTTTCAGAAATGGTTGGTGCTCTCTGCAATATTTTTTCTTGAAGAAATTCTTTATTCTGGAAGGGAAAAATACATGTTTTCTTCTTACAGAAATTTTAATGAACCCCAAAAACTGACACAGAATATTCACCACAATTAACATGTAACAAGTTTCAGAAAATCTTCCATTCTTTTATTCAGAAGCTCCTCTAGTACATTAATTACGACATGATTTTATACACTGAGACAGAGCTTTAGTGTACTGTGTAAGCCATTATCTATGAAAAGTTTGCTTTACCGTATATCCTTTGGGATCATGGTCCCACATTTCAATCTACAGTAACATCCCATGAGATGTTTACTAATTCAGTAATAAACCCTGAAATGAGAGTTCAGCAGTTTTCACATACTATATTTATAATGGCAAGATTTAATATTCATTGTTGTTACAAATTTAATCTGACATTTAATTTTATGAAATATATTTAATAATTCTAAAGAATGTATCTGAATTACCAAAGTTTGTATAGGTAGTGCCCTTGGCAATTATTTGATCAACCATCATTTTTTACAAATATCATCATCTTCATATAATTCAACTTCTGAGTAGTCAATCTAATTTGGGAAACTGAGGAGGATCATGGGAACAGACAAAATCAAAAGTTAAGACTTCCTACCTTCGCTTTTTGGAAAAATTTGTGCCTTAACAGTTCTGCTGCTGTTGGTCTAAAACCAGAAAAAAAAGTTTTAATGGTTAACTCAAGTGTGATGTGGGTTTCCACCTTCGAAATTCAGAAAATTATTTCTTGAGCAGCAAGATAAAAATTCAGCATACTCCACTTTCCTTACTCTACTGAAAAGCAAAAAGTAGAATAAAACAGGGACAAAACATTGAGTAGAATAAAAAAATCAAATAGAAATTCTCTGGTAACATTTATTGTAGGTTCCCTGGAAAATTCCTCAATGAAATGTTTCTTTTGGAAGCAGGACTCCTAGTGACTCCCCATATATTTACTATTTAGTATTATTTACCAAGAACTAGGCTAGATAATATCTACTTTAATGAGGCATAAAAATAAATTTAAACTCATAAATGAACCAAATCAGGTCTGTGCTTCTTGCCATAAGGCTACCTGGCATCCTTCAGTTTAGATAACTACATATTCTTAAAAATAGACTTCATAACCTCCTTTAAAAATACTGAAGATTCTATAAGTAATGTATATTCCCCAAATCTAAACTCAGTTTCTCATTGAGCTATATAGTCTTACTTTGTCTGAGTGAAGTCTCAGATATGATTGAGAATAAAAAATAATACAACATATAAAAATACTGGACCTGATCGTGCCACACATCTACCAGGTAATCCTGAGCAAATCATGTCTTTAAGAGTCAGGGTTACCTGGCCAACTACCTGAAAGCAGTGACTGAACACTGCTGGGTAAAGTATCAGGGAGTTTTTGAAAAAATCCCAGTGCTCAGGCTCTACTCAACACTAATTAAAACAGAATCTGAAGGGTAAACCCAGGTATCCATAGTTTTTAAACTCCTCTGGTGATTCCAATGTGCACTCCAGCTTGAGAATCAGGGCCTTGACGTTTATCACAAAGATTAAACTAAGAGAATAAGGAAAAGTGATTAAGCAAGATAGCAGCGTGAGAAATGAGGCAGAAACCTCCTCCCCAAACCATATAACAGGAAAATACAGCAACTACAACTAAACCTGAAAGAGCGACCAGAAAAAGACTGCAACAGATGGCCTACATCTGGGGAAAAGAGACCTCATGGAAAAGGCTAAAGTACCAAAGTCTCAATCCAGTGGTATCCATGCCCTCCCACCCCAGTTCACCTGCAGGAGAAAGAGAAATGGAACAAGGAGGGAGTGGAAGCCCAAGACTACTCAATACCCAGCACTGGAGATTTACTCCAGGAACATGAACCCACATTACATGGTGCTCTGGAGATTAGAGGTGTTGGAAAGCAAAGACAGGCAGAACATTCAGGGGGACTGAGATTCCAGTCACTTGTGAAGAATGGTACCCACAACCTGCCCCTCCAGCACAAAAGAAAGGTGGGTACTTTGAAAGCCTTACCAACAGTGAGAGGGCAGCTAAAGTGCCAAGGATTACACAGAGCTTGTTGCTCAGGAAGACAGGTGGACAAAATCATCCCACGACACCCAGCCCAGCAGGTTAGGAACTTCCAGGAGCTTCCGGCAATCAATCCTGTCTGGCAATGCAGTGCCAAGGCTCCCCACCATGATATGCAGCCTGCCGCTCCTCCTTCCCAATGGGGGCCAGATTGCAAGCCTGATGACCCCACCAAAGGCCAGCCAAAGGGCAGCCCTGCCTATGCCAGCTACAAAGGTATAGCATAGAGGCTTCTCCCTGCACACTTTGCCCACTGGCCCTAGCAGTGGAGGAAGGCACTATTGGGAAGCAGGAAAGAGCTTTTTCCTCCCAGCAGGTACCAGCACCGCTCACCTGTGACCCCCGCCACTGCTCCAGGTACTGACCAGCTCCAGAGAGTGGAGTTTCTGGGCACTTAGAGGGCCCCGACTACACAGTTATTATTCCATAGCAATCATCAGGAATATGAAACGGCAAAAGAACCTAGTACAAACCAAAATCCTACAAACACAAGAAAGAGGACTAAGTGAAACTGAAATCACCAATCTTCCTGATGAAGATTTCAAAATAAAAATCATAAACATGCTCATGGAGCTGCAGAAAAATATTCAAGACCTCAGGGAGGACTTCAAGGAAAATAAACTTTGAAAAATACAGTATCCAAAATGAAACATACAATGCAGGAATTTAAAAAAAGATTAGATGAGGTAGAGGAGATGGTAAATTAAACAGAAATTAGAGAACAGGAATACAAAGAAGCTGAGGCAAAGAGAGAAAAAAGAATCCCTAGGAATGAAAGAATATTAAGAGAACTGCATGACTAATCCAAATGGAACAATATTCGCATTTTAGGGGTATCAGAAGAAAAGAGACAAAAAGGGATAGAAAGTGTCTTTCAGGAAATAATTGCTGAAAACTTCCCCAGTGGGGGAAGGAAAAAGTCTCTCAGGCCATGGAAGTGAACAGATTTCCCAACACAAGAGACCCAAAGAAGATAACACCAAGACATATAATAATTAAAATGGCAAAGATCAAGGACAAGGTAAGAGTATTAAAAGAAGCCAGAGAGAGAAAAAAGATCATATACAAAGGAAAACTCATCAGGCTATCATCAGACTTCTCAGCAAAAACCTTACAGACCAGAAGGGAGTGGCATGATATATTTAATGCAATGAAACAGAGAGGCCTCGAAGTAAGAATATGCTACCTAGCAAGACTATCATTTAAATTTGAAACAGGAATTAAACAATTTGCAGATAAGCAGAAGTTGAAGGAATTTACCTCTCACAAACAATCTCTACAGTATATTTCAGAGGGACTGCTATAGATGGAAGGGCTCCTAAGGTTAAATAGCTGTCATCAGAGAAAATAAAACCACAGTAAAGGAAGTAGACCCATTATTTACTAAGCAAATGCAAAACTGAATAAACTACCCACAAAGTCAGTCAAGGGATACACAAAGAGTACAGAATATGACACCTAATATACAAAGAATGGAGGAAGAACAAAAAGAAGAGAGAAAAACTTTTAGATTGTTTAAAATAGTGTAATAAGCAAGTTAAAACTGTTAGACAGTAAAGAAGCTTCCCTTGAACCTTTGGTAACCACATGGCAATAAGTACATATCTATGAATAATCACCCTAAATGTAAATGGACTGAATGTACCAATCAAAAGACATAGTTACAGAATGGATAAAAAAACATGACCCATCTATATGCTGCCTACAAGAGACAAAGACATACACAGACTGAAAGTGAACGGTTGGAAAAAGATATTACATGCAAACAATAGGGAGAAAAAAGCAGGAGTTGCAGTATTTGTATCAGACAAAATAGACTTCAAAACAAAGAAAGTTACAAGAGACAAAGAAGCACATTACTTAATGATACAGGGATTGGTCCAACAAGAGGATATAACCATTATATAAATATCTATGCACCCAACACAGGAGCACCTACATATGTGAAACAAATACTAACAGAATTAGGGGGGGGGGGAAATAGAATGCAATGCATTCATTTTAGGAGACTTCAACACACCACTCACTCCAAAGGACAGATTAACCAGACAGAAAATAAGTAAGGACACAGAGGCACTGAACAACACATTAGAAAAGATGGACCTAACAGACATCTACAGTACACTACACCCAAAGCAGCAGGATACACATTCTTCTCAAGTACACATGGAAGATTTTTGAGAATAGATCACATACTAGGCCACAAAAAGAGCCTCAGTAAATTCAGGATTGAGATTGTACCAACCAGCTTCTAAGACAACAAAAGTAGAAATTAGAAATAAATTATGCAAAGAAAACAAAAACACCCACAAACACATGCAGGCTTAACAACATGCTCCCAAATAATCAATGGGTCAGTGACCAAATAAAAACAAAAATCAAGCAACGTATAGAGAAAAATAAAAACAACAACTCAACACCCCAAAATCTGTGGGATGCAGTGAAGGCAGTTCTAAGAGGAAAGTATACAGCAATACAGGCTTACCTCAAAAAAAAAGAACAATCACAAAAGAACAGTCTAAACTCACAATTAATGAAACCACAAAAAGAAGAAGAAATGAGGCCCAAAGTCAGTAGAAGAAGGGACATAACAAAGATCAGAGCATTAAATAAATAAAATCAAGGTTAACCAAGGAGGTGAAAGACCTATACCCTGAAAACTACAAGAGAGAAATTAAAGAAGATACCAATAAATGGAAACACATCCCGTTCTCATGGACAGGAAGAATATTGTCAAAAAAGCCATCCTGCCTAAAGCAATCTACAGATTCAATGCACTCCCTATCAAAATTCCAAAGACATTCTTTTTTTTT